TATTTATTTGAGATTTCTCTATTCTTTTCTTGGTGAGTCTGGCTAAAGGTTTGTCGATTTTGTTAATTTTTTCGAAGAACCAACTCTTTGTTTCATTGATCCTTTCTATTGTCTTTTTTGTTTCAATATCGTTTATTTCTGCTCTTATTTTTATTATTTCCCTCCTTCTACTGACTCTGGGCTTTATTCTTCTTTTTCTAGTTCTGTTAGGTGTTGTTTGAGGTTGCTTATGTGAGCTTTTTCTTGTTTAGTGAGGTGAGCCTGTATTGCGATGCATTTCCCTCTTAGGACTGCTTTTGCTGCATCCCAAATGATTTGGTATGTCGTGTTCTCATTTTCATTTGTCTCCAGATAATATTTGATTTCTTCTTTAATTTCTTTAATGATCCATTGTTTGTTCAGAAGCGTGTTGTTTAGTCTCCACATTTTTGCACCTTTCTCTGCTTTTTTCTTGTAGTTGATTTCTAGTTTCATAGCATTATGATCAGAAAAGATGCTTGATATTATTTCAACTCTCTTGTATTTATTGATGTTTGCTTTGTTTCCCAAAATATGGTCAATCCTTGAGAATGTTCCATGTGCACTTGAGAAGAATGTGTAACCTGCTGTTTTTGGATGAAGTGTTCTATATATATATCTATTAAGTTCATCTGGTCTAATTTTTCATTTAATTCTATTATTTCCTTGTTGATTTTCTGTCTGGATGTTCTGTCCATTGGTGTTAATGGTGTGTTGAGGTCCCCTACTATTATTGTATTGTTGTTGATGTCTTCTTTTAGTTCTATTAAGAGTTGCTTTACAAATTTTGGTGCTCCAGTGTTGGGTGCGTATATTTTTATAAGTGTTATGTCTTCTTGGTGGAGAGTCCCTTTTATCATTATATACTGTCCCTCTTTGTCTTTCTTTATCTGTTTTGCTTTGAAGTCTACCTTGTCTGATATTAGCATAGCGATGCCTGCTTTCTTTTGTTCATTATTAGCTTGGAGTATTGTTCTCCATCCCTTCACTCTGAGTCTGCGTTTGTCTTTGGAGCTGAGGTGTGTTTCCTGGAGGCAGCATATTGTTGGGTCTTGTTCTTTGATCCATCCTGCCACTATGTGTCTTTTGACTGGGGAGTTGAATCCATTTACATTTAGAGTGATTATTGAGATGTGGGGGCCTACCACTCCCATTTTATGTCTTGTTTTCCAGTTTTCTTCAGTTTCCTTTGTTTCTCGTCCCATGGTTTAATCTGTTCTGCTGTAGAGCTGCTACTCTCTGTTGTTGTCCTTCTACTTATCTCCTCTGCTCTTGGTTTTGTAGTCCCTTTCCTTTTGTGGATTTTTCAGGAATGAGGGTTTTCCTGAGGATTTCCTGAAGAGGAGGTTTTGTGGCAATGAACTCCCTTAATTTTTGTTTATCTGGGAAAGTTTTTATTTCTCCATCATATTTGAAGGATATTTTCACTGGGTAGAGAATTCTCGGCTGTAGGTTTTTGTCCTTCAGATTTTTGAATATATCATTCCACTCTCTTCTAGCCTGTAAAGTTTCTGCTGAGAAATCTGCTGATAGCCTGATGGGGGTTCCTTTGTAGGTTAGTTTCTTTTGCCTGGCTGTCCTTAGTATTTTCTCCTTGTCGTTGACTTTTGCTAGCTTCACTACTATATGCCGTGGGGTTGGTCTTCTTGCATTGATAAAGTTTGGAGATCTATTGGCTTCTGTCACCTGAAGATCCATCTCGCTCACCAGATTTGGGAAGTTCTCGGCCATTATTTCTTTGAATAGTCTTTCTGACCCTTTCTCCTTCTCTTCTCCCTCTGGTATACCTATAATCCTTACATTGCATCTCCTAATTGTGTCTGATAATTCTCGGAGAGTTTCTTCATTTCTTTTTAGTCTTACTTCTCTCTCCTCCTCTGCCTGCAGCATTTCTATATTCCCATCTTCCAAATTGCTAATTCTTTCCTCCATATTATCTGCCCTACTGTTCAGTGCATCTAGATTTTTCTTAATCTCCTCTATTGTGTTCTTCATTTCCAGTATTTCTGTTTGGTTCTTCTTTTTTTTTTTTTTTTAAAGATTTTATTTTTTCCTTTTTCTCCCCAAAGACCCCCAGTACATAGTTGTATATTCTATGTTGTGGATCCTTCTAGTTGTGGCATGTGGGACGCTGCCTCAGCGTGGTCTGATGAGCAGTGCCATGTCCGTGCCCAGGATTCGAACTAACGAAACACTGGGCCTCCTGCAGCGGAGCGCGTGAACTTAACCACTCGGCCACGGGGCCAGCCCCTGTTTGGTTCTTCTTTATTGTATCAAACTCTTTTGTGACATAGCTCCTGAACTCATTGAGTTGTCTATCTGAATTCTCTCTTAACTCATTGAGTATTTTAATGATGGCTGTTTTGAAGTCATCGTCATTTAGGTTATATATCTCATTTTCTTTGGGATTGTTTTCTGTGTATTTGTTATTTTCCTTCTGTTCTGGAGATTTGATGTATTTTTTCATATTGCTTGATGTTGTTGATTTGTGCCTCCGCATAGAGATAGAGTTTAGTTGCTCCTTCCACTTGTTTCTGCTGGTGTGGTGGGGGAGCAGCTGTTTATACTGCACCAACCAGGAACCCTATCCTCAGTTGCTAACTGGGCCTGGGCCCCCTCCTCATAGTCACAGTGGTCCTTTGGATTCCCTCTTCTGCCATGGGGGCCATCACAGGGGGGCTTCAGGCTGCTGGTGCCTACTGTTGCAGCCCACCTAGACGTGCTCCCTCCTTGGGGTCTGCAACGGTGTTATGGGCTTTTCCAGCGGCCAAGGGTAGGATCACTTATATTTGCCACTCCGTCACTGTCGGCACCCACAAAATCTCACTTGTCCACTATGGGTCACAGCAGAGCTATTGGCATCTTCTACAGTCTGTGGTTAGCTCACCTAGCTATGCTACTTTTGTCCCTGGGTCTTCCAGCCTTGTGGCTGCCGGATGGGTGCTCTCTACTAGTGCTGTGCTGAGGTTTTCCCTGAGGCTGCTGTGAGCCTGTAGGGTTTCCCCTAGGCTATGGAGCTGGGTCGCTGGAACTCCACCCAGCCCCAGTCCTGTTCCCCAAGAACTCGGGGAGCCCTTTGCCCTGTCGTGGGGATAGTCGGAGATCCTGATTTCAGTGGTAGCTAGTCAGCTGCTGCCCTGCCTGATATTCTCCTCTCCGGGACCCTCGCAGTGTTGTGGATGCTGGGTGTGGCCCCTCAGCTAATAGCAGACAGAGAGTTTTGTCTGCTGCCCAGGCAGAACTCTGGAGCTTCCCCTCTGCACCGCAGAGCCGGCCTCTGGAGCTCCCCCCAGCCCCAGTCCTCTCTGAGATCTCTGGCAATCCCTAGCCCCACGGGGTGGGCAACGGCAGCTGAGGGTCACCTCACCCTCTGGGATTCTCTCCGGGACTTTCCTGGAGTTGTGAATGCTGGTCATAGCCCCTCCGCTAATGGCAGACAGAGAGTTTTGTCTGCTGCCCGGGCGGAACTCTGGAGCTTCCCCTCCAGGACACGGAGCCGGCCTCTGGAGCTTCACCCAGCCCCAGTCCTCTCTGAGATCTCCGGCAATCCCTTTCCCCACCGTGCAGGCAGTGATTCTCTCTGGGACCCTCCGGGCGCCATGAACACTAGGCGGGATCTCCCTGCCAATGGCGGGGCGAGACTCTCCCTGTGGGCTCAGGTGTGTAACTCTAGAGTTTCCCTCTGCGTTTAGGAGTAATTGCGGGGGGTTTAGGTAGGGTTCTGGTCACCTGTTTCCACTGTCGCTCCTCTGGTGTGTGCTCGCTCCTGCCCTAGGTGTGTGTTGATCTTCTGAGGGCGTCCGTTGGAAGAAAGCCACTTGCAGGTACTAGGCTGTTCGGTCGGGGTCGGAGAGTTTTCACCTATCTCCACATCCTCCCGGAGGGAAGTCCGTCTGCCTTCCCATGTATAGTCGCGTGGGTCTCTCAGACGTCCTGAGATGCTGTCTGGATATCCTTTGTTAAGCGATGAGTGTCCAAATAATTGTAGACTTGAAGGGGGAGAGACAAAGAGGACTACTCATGGCGCCATCTTGGATCCTCTCTCCGACATAAATTAATTTTGTAGAAAAGTTTCGAAAGTCTTTCAAGAGAAAAGAACAGATATTTTATCCTAATAATAATACTGATTGTCTTAGATCTGTATCCTTCTTTATAACTAATAGGATAAATATTAACTCTAATTTCTACTGTCATCATGTCTCTTAGTAGATGATGCATATTGTAAACTATCCCACACAAAGAGAATGTACACTAGCATTTCGTTAAAGCTCAGCTACAATGAAACTTTGTGGGAAATTATGTTCTCTGAGACCTCCCTTGCCTCAAACCATGCTATAATACAGTTTTCTAAAAATACTGCCTTGACCCAGTTTTGAGGACCTGGAGGGGGTCCAGTTAATTCCCCTTCTTGAGCAGCTGATGAAGTCCATATTCCCAACCACCTCCCTTATTAGGCTCTCATACTCTGAGTTACTATACAACCACACTAATTGCCCAGGACCTGGTACCAGATAACCAAGGACAGCCCCAGTGCTCCAGAGCCCTCTGAAGTTATTCAAATTAGCCAATCCTAAACCTGCTTGCTTTGCATCTCCCTTTCCTTTCCTTCCTCCTTTTGTTTTGTGACCAACCCACATCCTTCGATGGAGTGGCCCTGTGTGGAATGCTGTGCTCTCCCCAGGGAATTGAAAAACTCTTTTCTGTTTCTCTCTCTGGATCTGCACCTGATCTCATCATATCTCACTCAAGAGCTCCAGGAAACAGAACTGTCTTTTATCTCTCTAATTCTCATTTCTAGCACCATTCCTGGCATATAATAAGTGCTTCATAAAAAGTAATGCAAATCTTTGAAATACAGCATTGGCGAAATTAATGGACAAAGCTTTAAGTAAAATAGTAGCACAACGCTATTCTCTGGTCCTTATGGCATAACTAATTCCCCTACTGATGACATTGAACACTATTTTAGACAAATCCATAAGAAATATCAACCTATTATGTTACTTTTTGAGTAAACAATGGACATCCACTTGAGAACCATAGTATTATACTACCTCCCTCATTAGAGTGAAGATTTAGTTGGAAGTGTTCCATTTATAAAATGAAACAAATTACCCCACCTCTTTTATCCAGTCATTCTCTTTTGCTGGGTGGTGTAGATAGCATGGAGCTTTGCCTGGATCTCCTTTCAGTGGTGAGGCATCCATTCTCTCAGCAGCCTGGAATGTTGGTTACGGACAGTTCACAGCTGAGACTGTCTCTGGGAACTGCCCTCAGCCTAAAGGAACTGGCTTACATAAGGTGGTATCCATGCCCCTGAGCAGTCTGCATCCAGCGATTGTTCAGTATAGAAACTAGGGGGGTGACTACAAAGACCCACCCCCCCCTTGTGTCCTTGTAAAACATCTCTGAAGTGTGAGGACCAAATGGCAGATCGACGTCTCCCTCTGCTTAATCCTGCTCTCCTTGCTTCCTCACAGCTATTGTTTCTGAGTCCTCTGCAGTGACTTCTATATGCATGTCTGTCTCGGAGTCTCAATATTTGTTTCCCAGGGAAGCCAACCTAAGACATCACTTTTGAAATAAAGAGATGCACAATTAGTTTTAAATGTGAAAGAAACACTTAAAAACTGCTTGACCCAATGTATTGATTGACTTGACACTTTTGTGGAAGACTAGACTTTGTAATCTATATTGATAAATAATAGACATTCTTGAGCATTATAAGGAAGTTTATTCCCCTCTTTCCCTTTCCCATATTCCCCAATTTTGTTGACATCTTATAAAAGTTATTTAGAATACTTTGATACCTTCTCAAGAGAAAAACTGTTTTATTCTAGTTACTTTTCACAGTGATAGACTTTTAAAAATTTACCGAATCTTCTTTTGAAAAAGATGCAGAAACATTATTTAATCTATATGAAATAGTCAAAATAACTGACAATGCACTTGATCCGTTATAAATAAATAAATAAATAGCCCACTATGTTTATAAGGGTTTGGAATCTAAGGGTACTGAATGAAAAAAAAAATTCCAGAAATATTTTTAGCTCTCAAGAAGAGCTACATATTACTATGTAGTTATTTTAATAATATTATCTAATGCTGTTCCAGTTTCCTTGTGACTATTTTAATCATCCTTAGCATCATTTCCTATGGCAGATCTCATACACTTACGGATTCTTTTTCATCTGTTCCAATTCAGCTCCTCCTTACTTCTAAGGCTCACAAAGTTAGTGTGATCAGCTATAATGCATCTGCCAAAAAAAAAAAAAAAATTTTAGAGAGTGATTGTGGGTAAACTGAGACTCATCGGCATCAAAGAGACGTTTTTCTCATCTATCTCTGTTCTTACTTAACATGACCACAGAATTATGGAGAAATGATCAAGAAAATATGGTCATGGGAGGGGGAAGAAGTCCTTGATTTTTCCTTCTAATAAGAGATAGTTACCTTTGGAAAGAACATTCTAGAGTATCGAAGATAAAATAAGCAGGTGAAAAAGAAAGAAGTAAAATGGCATCGGTCTATTTTGAGAACTGAGGTAGTTCAAATTCATTAGTCTTTAATAAGCGCGTTTATTTGCTTACAGTAAAGCAGCTAAGCTAGTGTTTTGCCTTTCTGACAGAGAACAGACTAGTCAGGATATTAAGTCACCCTGGTTTGAAGTCAGATCTCTTGGTTTGATTAGAAAACATTTTATGAAAAATAAATGCACAAATGAACTCAGAGATGAAAGTTTGGCAGATTCAAAAACTGTTAACTCACCTGGCGGAAACGCATTGTGGATCGTTTCATTTCTGCCTTCTACCTTGGCTGTGCTTTAGGGCTTACAAAATAGGTGACATTTTGAACTTGTTAAGTTTTAAATCTCAAGAAAGCAGCCAGACTTCTGACTTTTGACCTAAAGGCAGGACAAGTTGTTAACTACTATAATCAAGCAGTTGTCAATCATTCTCCTTGAAATCCCTGCTTCCTTGTGACGGGGTCCTCTGTAGTCATGTCAGCTATTACTCTATGAAGCCTGGCTCAGGATGGACAGGCATGTCTTCATTCCTTGGTTCTGCCTGTATCTTCAGCTGATTTTCTTCTAGTGGAAATTTCAGTGTAGTCACATAGTGTAGTGGGTAAGACTTAGGACTTTGGGGTTGGATCTGGGTTTAAAGCCCACCCCTTTACTGCAACCTTGAGCAAGTGTGTTAACTTGTCTAAACTTGAGTTCCTTTCTCCAAAATGGAAGTAATTATGCCATCTTCCTTATAGTACTGTTGTGAGGATTCCCAGGGGAAAATTATATAACACGTTTGGCTCAGTGTCTGGCATGGGATTCTCAACCTGTTTTGAATCCGGCCAAGAAAGAGGAGTATTATCTAGCAGTGGACTCAGTAACCTCACATTTGATGTCTTGGCTGAGAAAATCAAGTAAATAAAAAAGGAATAAACATAGAGGTCAAAATAGCACCTATGATAATTATAGGGGCCAGGCTGGAAGGCATATGTGAAAGCCAAATAAACTTTCTAACCAAACTCAGAATGAGGCTGACTTATCTGTCCAGCCTCAGGCAGCACCCACATGCCCTCAGCAGGGTGCTCCTGTGCCCTGTGCCTGCAACTCACACCCCAGAGAAAGAGTGGGGAGCTGGGCACGTCAGTCTTCCTCTCAAATTTACGATCTCAAAAGTGACTCCCTCTTCCCAGGTGTAGAGTGAGAAAGAGAGAGAGAGAGACCCAAAGTTATATTTATTCAGCTAGCTTCACAGGAAGAAAGCATCAGACATCGAAAGGAACATTGTGGAATAAGTGCTCAATAAATGATAATTATCATTATGAACTGACAAGGATATATTCCTTTCTTTACTTGGCCCAACACATGAAAAACGTGGGAATTATTTGATCTACCATCTTTTTTTCTAATGTGAATATAATGATATTGTTAATAGAAATCAAAACTAAGTTTAAAAATATATATACAGAAAAAAAAGAACTGAGGAAAATTAAAGGAAATAAATCTAATCCAATATACCCAAAATGCATGTAATGTAGGATTGAGAAGTCTTTGCATTGTTACAGCTGGAATAATAAATTGTAGACATATGAAGAAAGGACAAGGGCAGTTAAAAAATATTTTTAACCTCTAAAAAATTTATCTAGAGAAATTACAATCTGATAGGAAATGTAGACCCTGAAATGTAGTATATTTTCATTTGCCGTATGTAAACTTCATTCGTGAATGTAATATTGCTTGATGCTGTGAATATTTCTATTTGGTTCCCAACATACAGCCTAGGAGGTGAACTGCATATGTGCTAGTTTGCAACATTCTTGTATATTCCCTTCTCACTATTCTCTGCTTCCTATGTATCGTGTTGACCCCCCTATTCCTCACTGTCTCTGCCTATGTAAAGAATACATGGTAATGGGAAGGGAATTTTAAAGTATTTTAAATTTTTGTTTCTACAACAGAGATAGTAGTCTCTAAGAGCCAAGGACACATGTGAAACAGAGAAACTATCAAATATCAGCCGATAAATAGGTAAGGATGTTCTTAAACTAAAGGCAATTAAAATTTAACTCATTAGAGACTCATGGGATGCAAGAAGAGCATATACGAATACATAATTTGGAGAATTATAAGCATTTATCATTAATTTCACCAAATTTTAAAAAATGTTGATGAATGATAAGACACTATATTCTATTAAGTTGCATATATGGCTCATCTCCAAGAGATGGGCCATCTCAAGGACAGAAGATTCCATCTTTTGCTCTTTTGCATTCCCAGTGCCTTGCATAGTCCCTGCCACATGACAGTTTCCCAAATGTTTGTTGAATGAATATTTGCTGGAGATAATAGGCATTGGTTAAATAAATAACCACAAGTTGAGAATATCAGTCCCAATAGGGAGGCTTTTTCTAATTAACTAATGGCTATTTATTCATTAGACATTATGCATATATGATAGCATATGTGTCTGAATATTCAAGCAATCTTTCTTTTAACACTATTTTTATGCCTACCAGAGTCCTGTGCTTATGACACATCAGGTTTGAAACCTCAGAAAAGCACATTCATAATTTTTTGTCATCAATTTTCAAGATAGCCCTCTGGCTTTCACTCAAATTCAGATAATTTGGAGGAGGAAAGATCTGAGAAACCTGTCAAACATAATTATAGAGCGCAGCAGTCCTCCCGGTAATGGGATTGGCTCAGCGGTTATTTTTGAAACACGCCTGCACTAATATACGGTGCTTGAGTTCTTCAAGTACCTTAAGATATTTGCTTTTTATGAACATGGGTGAAATTTTTCCACTGATGTTTTATATTAGATGAGCACAAAGTTACTGACTGAAAGCCAGAAAAATGTGAGATTCTAATTATGATCCAAAGACACTGCACATGCATTTAAATGAATACTGTAACCCTTTCTGTATTGCTCACTCCAGTTTTCCCAAGGTCCCCCAGAGAAATAGTGCTGGTATCAGAGCCACGTTTTGCCAACTCCTTTCAAAGTGAGAGAAAGATTCAGTTGCAATTCATGATTATTTTACGATGTGTTCACTAATGTTTCAGGGTCGCGTCATGATGATTTCATGATGTTATATCATTGTTTCCAGTTCCAACTTGAGTATTTATTGTCTGACACTTAAATTCCAGGACATCCCATAACATAAACGTCTTTTGCGAGAACAACATGTACAAAACAGTCCACATTGGATGAGGCTACACATTTGGAACATAGTTTTATATTTTTTTCCTTTTAAAATTTCTGATTTCTCCCTTTCCTTCCCTTGGTTTTATGTTGTGTTAGCACAAGTTACAGTCATGGGGTTCAAAGACAGCTTGCCTCCTGACAGGATCATGGCTAATTCATTTAAGGGTGAGATTTGCTGGTGTTATTTTTAAATACCTTTAAGACCCTCAGGATGGAGTTTATCATTATATTTTCCAATCAGGAAAGCTGTTTCACATTGGCAATATTATCTCATATGCCATTCTTTTCACTTCCATATGGCCTGGAAAATTTCAGAGAGTGCTAGACTTTCTACCTAATAGAACATTCATGGCTCCCAGAATGCTGCTGCCTTTTTTTCTCTGTGGAGCTTATCCTTTTTTAAATTTGAAAACAGCTTCATTCATACAAATAGCATATTATTAGAATTTGGGGAGTGTTAGGGGGAAGCGTTTCATCATTCTAGGAACAAGTGAGGGAAGGGCTCTCCCTTGTTTTATGTTAATGCTGTGGTCAAGTTATAAAGACATACACAGAAGAAGAAAGCTAGAGAATTTTAAAATCAGCAATTGCGAGGAAATTTTGGTAATATGTCTCAAAGGTGAGCTAATGGTTTCATAGGTAGAGGAGGTCATAATGGGGAAACATAGGTTTGCAGGCTGGTGAAATATCTCCCGACTGAGCATTAGCTCTGTAATTCATCCTGGTGTGGGAGTTTCTCACGTTACTCAGCCCTTGAGATTAAGGCACTGACGATTTCTGATAAACATACATGAATCATGGAAGGGACACATATCAAGTAATTATGAGTCATTAATACCACTTTCTTATCTTTCTTTATCGGATTAGCTGGTCAGTCTGCAGAGAAAGAGCAAAGCACATAGACAATTTTCCTTAAGGAGGAAAGACATTCACAGCATGGCTGAATAGTCAGTTCTTAAGCTCTTTCCATTGTGACATAGTTAATGGCTAATGTCCAAAAGCAAAGCACTCTCCTGTGTGCACAACTACAATTACATGCAGTTCCCTTCATCTTAGCAACAATTCTATCCCTTCCTTGGAAAGGTGGTGGAATGTAGTGTTTCTAATCCAGGCTCTGGAATTAGATGGTTAGGCTCAAACTTTCTAGCTGTGAGTCCTTGGGTAAATCATTTAAACTCTGTAGGTGGCAGATTCCTTATTGGTAAACTAGGCATAGTAATTGCACCTTCCTGGTGCATTTATCAAGAGAATTAAATGAGTTAATCCATGTAACACACAATGCATGATTCAGTAAACCCTCAACCAATAGTTGCTATTATTATTATCACCATATTAATACCATGGAAGAGTGCAAATTGGAATGTAGGTCAGGGAGATTAATATTATGTTCATGCCATATTGGTATAACAGTGTCAGCTATAAAATGCAATTGCTTTATAAGTAGCAAATGTGGTGCCAGCATTTAGCAGAAGTAAAGTCTAGCGTGAAATCAACTTTCGGTGCCCTCAGCATCACTGGGTTTTGTGTTGGAACTTCTGAATGAGAATTCTCACTCCTAAAATGCTCTTTCATTTTAAATTTTGGTGTTGGGTATAATATGTTTATATTCATGACATGAGGTCTCTTATAAAAAAGATAACGCAAAAGGAATGTCTTGCCCTCCTCTGACAAGTCTGTCTCCTCAGCTTGGGGGCAAATTTTGTTTTGGGTTTGAGGAAAGAGGAGCTGTGAGTTCTTGTATTTGCCCACTTTGATGATGTCCCCATGTGAAAGAGTGATAGGAGACTTCAGCCTATATTGCTGCTGTATCCCTCAACCTTTACATCCACAAACGTTCACTCCAAAATTTTCCAAAATAATAACAACATTTAAAACAAGGAAGACTGTTCAAACACTGAGTTATCTGTGAGACTCAGCCAAGTTACACCAGCTGCACTGGCTTGGTTCCTACATCTGGGCTCCAAGGCGGGTAACAAAAAAAAAATCTCCATGAACAGTATTTTAAGAATTTTGGCAACGCGCAAGACAGGAGAATTAAAAAGGATTCTTTGCTGAAAACAGACTTGGTGGAAAACAATTCTGTTTGCTCGCCACAATTCAGCAAGCAATCTAATGGCCAGCCATCAGAATACAAACATGCGCAGGCTGTAACTAAAGTCACTGTGTCCCACTAGCAAAGGCCGGTGGGCACAGCAGCTGAGTCCCGGGAATGAGAAGCAGCAGTGGACTCAACAACAGCACAAAGCATAAAATGGATTCCCCATAATACTATTTTTTAACCTAGTGGGTGACATTTCCCAACAGCCGGTATGACGTAGGATGTGTGTGTGCCTGCAGGGAAGACTTAGCTTGTTTTTTCCAGATTTTCTTGTCCCTTCCTTTAAATCATTAAGTATGACTGGTTAGTTTCTTCCCTTGCTTCTCTATGGAGTTTTATTTCTTCTTAAATTATTGCATTGATTTTGTAGAAAAAGGCAAAGGAGGAAGAGTGTAGCAGAGTTATGTTTTTTCTCATAAAGAAAAACCTTTCTCTTTAGAAGCAGACGAAGAGTTATAGGATTTTAAATTAATTGGTGAAATTTAAATATTGAAGAGAAGGAGGATGGTAAAACAGTCTGAGGAAGATCTCAATATAGTAATTTAATTGTTTTAATCAGAAAGGACACATATGCATTATTATTTCTAAATAATTATTAAATTCTCATTTTAATATGGTGCTGTATTGCTCTATTTCAAGAACTAATTCAATAGACATTGACGTTGCCATCAAGAAGTTTATAATCTAAAAGATATCAAATAACAGAAAATAGACAAAGCAGAATGCCCTGTTCAGGCGTGGTTCAGTGTATTCAAAACATTTAGAAAACATGGAACAATGAAATTTAGATATTAGGGCGCAAGTCGTCTGAGGCGAGAACTGTTTGAATCCCACGTAGATGGAAAAGGCCTGTGGGAGAACATGAGGAGGGAAAGGTCTTTCTGGCTCACAAAGACACATGTGATTAAGGACCTATCAAAAGGGAGTGAATTACTTTCCAGTTGATAAAAATGCTGGAGCTTTATCTAGGAGGAGCCTGGTGATGTAGATAAAGACGTGATAGGTTGTGGACAGGGTGACTTCACTAAGCGCTCTCTCTCATCAGCCCAATGGTACCATGAGGAGAGAAGTAAAAGCTCCAAAGTAGCTTTTTTACAAGGTGTTTTATAAAGGTTATGCAACGGGGTTATGTAACAGTGGCAAACAAGAAACCACAAATCGGGAATCCGGTCTTGGTTCCAGGTGACATAGCTTAAGTGAAACTTTATTATGATATTAATGAAGATGTTCAAATGCTAACATTTCCCCCACTTACTGTTCCCAGATTAGAGGGGAATGAAAAGCAGCAAACCCACAGTTCTGGGCTTCTGTGACCTAGCACACTCCTTACTATGTGAAGGCTGCTTTGACTAGTGAACTTAAGGTGTACCATGAGGAGGAGAAGGAGAGGCAAGAGAAACTGCAATCACTACACCATCCTGTCTCCTTGATCAACAAATATCCTTTGTGTTACTTGTTGCAATCGTGGGAGTAACATGAGATCAAAGAACGATTCTTCTAATCTGAGATGTATAAATAGCATCTCAGATCAAAGGAATGTGTTTAATGCTATCTATAGGCATGAATAGTATCTCAGACTGGAGGAATAATTCTTTCATTCATTTGTTCATTTTCATCTCATTCATTCATGCCAGTCCTCAAACCTGGAACTGGCCTTTGAGGTCTGGCCTATCTCAAAATATTACAGGGTCTTCTGGTGAGGTCAGGAATTTGTTTTCTCAGTTGAAAATAATAGGGGTCATTCAAGCAGCCATTCTAATCCTTCCTCTTCCAAGATCATTTTTTAGGCCAATCAGAAAGTGTCTTTTGCTGGTCTGCTATTTGAACCTATTTCTTTCTTGGCAAAATAAACACCCTGTTGTTTATTCCATCATTCATTGTTGTGTAACAAACCAACCTGGTCTTAATGGCATTAAACAACAATTATTGTTATCACTCACAGTTCTGGGGGTTGTCTAGGCCCAGGCTCGTGGTTCTCACTCAGACTCTCCCATTTGGTTGTAGTCAGACAGTAGCTGGGACTGGACTCAGTTTGAAGGCTTCCTCTCTTGCATATCTGGCACCTGGGCTGGAAACAGTTGGGGTTCCTCAGGCATCTCTCTCTCTTTGGGTGCTCTCCATGTGGTCTCTCCATCATGGCAGCTGTAGGGTAGCTATGGCAAGTCAGTGCTCAAGGATATGAGTCCTGAGAGAGAGAGAGCCAGGCAGCAGCTGTATTATTTTCTTTGACCTTGTCTTGAAGGTCAAACATTAATACTTCCTCAGCAATCTATTTGTTACAAGCAAATAACTAAGGTCAATCCATATTTAAAGGGAGGAGAATTAGACTCCACCTCTTGAAAGAGGAATGTCAAAGAATTTATGACCATTTGTTAAAACCTCTACAGTCTGCACCAGTCTGCTCCTGCTCTACTGTCCCTTCATAGAGACACTAATTCTTTCTTTAATTCACTACTGTAATTTCTTCATCTCCATTACAAACGTTTCATTAAGCATCTAATTATGTAAATATCCTAGGATGTTTAAGTCACAGTTCAGGGAGAAATGCATAGGTACCACTTCTACCTTTTAGAAGTGCACATCTATGGCAGACAACACAAAATAAAGCACTGATCAAGGCCAATATTCAACATTCAACAAGTATTATTGAGGATCTATTATATTTTGCACACAGTTCTAAGCTCTAGGAATAAAACTCATGTTCTACATTCTGTACAGTCAGGATCTAATCTGTATGATGACCATAAAGAAGCAGTTTAATTAAGAGGTATGCACCATTCTACTGAAAACACCTTCCTTGAGCTCTCTAGCGATTTCTATCGTGTCAAATCCAATGATACTCAATGGCCGTATCTGCACCCACTTCTTAGTTCGCCTCACAACAATCAGTACTTGACACTGTTAACCTTCTTGATACACTTTGTTCTACTGATTTCTGAATCACGACTCTCTTGATTATTGTCTTCACAACCTTCTCTTATTTCCTTCGCTGCCTCCTTTTTCTCTTAATGTGGAGTGTTGCAGGGCTCAGTTCTGGATCCTCCTCTCTTCTCTCTCTACTTGCCATCCCATGGCTTTTAGTGTTAAATCTATAGGCAAATGTCTCTCAGACTTATCTTTCTGACCCTAGCTGTCCCATGAGCTCCTTAGTCATCTCTCCAGCTGCCTGCTGGACAAACATAACAGGCCAAGGTTAGCAGGTCCAAAACTGAACTTTTGATTTCCCCAAATACTCCAAACTCACTCTTTTCTAGTATTCCCCATATGAATTAATGAGGCCACCATGAACCCTTCATGCAATAAGCCTAGAAGTCATTCTTGATGACTCTCTTTTCTCTTAGTCACCCTATAAAATCCATTAGCTAGTTCTGCTGGTACTAGAGTAAAATATCTCATGATACGGGCCCACCTCGTGGCCGAGTGGTTAAGTTCAGTTGCTCTGCTTTGCAGCCCAGGGTATCGCCAGTTCGGGTCCTGGGCCCAAATATGGCATGTCTCATTAAGCCATGCTGAGGTGGCATCCCACATAACACAGCCAGAAGGACCTAAAACTAGGATATACAAATATGTACTGGGGGGCTTTGGGGAGAAGAAGAGAAAAAAAAAGAAGATCGGCAACAGATATTAGCTTAGGTGCCAACTTTTTAAAAAGAAAGAAAAATTTCATGATAAGCACACTGTTTTCTTACTATTTCTATAGCTCCAAGCATCCTCTACTTTCTATGTGCAGCCCCTGGAGCAGAGTAGATGCTCCATAAGACTGGTTAAGTAAATGAATTTATGCATGAAGGACAAGAGTAATGTAAGGATAGTGTTGGTTCCTACCATATAGGGCCGTGGTATTGTGGAGTGGGGAAGACTATAGGATAAAAATTCCAAGTAAAGCAGGATTATAGAAGGCATCTAGTCTCCTTTGGTCAATATCTGAAAACGTGTGAGGGATATTGGACTTGGGGAGACATCTGAGTCCCAAAAGGAATCTCTCAGTACAAATCCTTAATCAAGATTAGCAGAAAAGAGACATTCTGCTAGGAAGTAGTTCTTCTCAAAAAGTCACAGGAAATCCAGAAAAGTTGATGTTAACAGTTCAGGTTGCTTTTTTGTTTTTTGTGAGGAAAATTGGCCCTGAGCTAACATCTGTAGCCAATCTCCCTCTTTTTGCTTGAGGAACATTGTTGCTGAGCTAACATCTGTGCCAGTCTCCCTCTATCTTGCATGTGGGATGCTACTGCAGCATGGCTTGATGAGTGGTGTGTAGGTCTCTGCCCAGAATCCGAACCCACGAACCCCGGGCCACCAGAGCAGAACGTGCAAACTTAACTACTACACCACTGGGCAGGCCCAGTGTTTTTTCCCCTTTTGTCTGACAAATTCAAAATGATTTGAAGAGTTAAACTCTTGCTCCCGTCCCTCCTCCTTGTGAATTTCATTCCTTCTGCTAAGGTAAAGTTATTTTCCTTTGTTCTTGGGTGTTTTGGAGGAATATTACTTTTGAAATCACTTGCCAGAGAAAATGTATTTTTTTTCAAAAAGTGAATACGGTTTTTAGCTTTAAAAATATCTTTTTAGAAAACTTTCCTGGAAGCTTAGGACAGTGATACCAAAAAAGCAAATATCTTTTTGTGTCTTGTCACTTTCACAGGAAATAATAAAACTCCTCCATTTCTTAGAAGCATATGACTTGGTGTCCAATATCCAAAATTTTCTTTTGAAGGAAATTGTGTATCCAGGTTATTTTTATTTCCTACGTAGTGTTACAATCAGTTTTCAAGCTGCACTGTTAAGAAATTGTTATTTCTCTCTCCGTTTTTTACTTTCCTGTTTTTGGTATGAGACATTTTAGTTGCGCTTTGCTCTAACTACCTGGTTGGAGGTTTCAAGAGCACTTTATAAAGATCTATTAAAATTAGCTGGAGAGCAAGGCTTGACTTAGTTAAAAAAGGTTGTTTTAATTTGCCCTTCCCCCCATCCCCCCAGGTGACCTACTCAAATTGCTTTAAAAAAAGTCCTGGGCATGCCTGGCGACTATCTGATTGGAAACAGTTCTTCTCTGGGATTGCCTGGCGGGAAGATTAGTCCGGGGGCAGGTTACTCAATCTTTTCTATGCCGAATAGCTCGTTTGCTTCTTACCTGAAGAATCCAAATTAGGGAGGGTTAAGTGAGGTGAAGAGAGGTGGTTCAGATTTGGCAGAAAGAAGGAAGATATCTTTAAAGTTTCCTAGAAAAATGCAGCATTTTATCCCTGTTCCCTCTTCTGTAGACGGCATAACAGAAGTAATAGTAGCAGCAATAAAAACTAACATTTATTGAGTGTTTCCTATCTGCCAGCCACTGAAAAGCACTCAGTGAAGTATTTACTACCATACACATATTCTGCAATGAAAGAACCTGAGTTTCAGTTTGGGGATGTAATTTAATTCAACGTAAATAACTAGTACCAGCCCTGGTGGTCTAATGGTTATGATTCGGCACTCTCACTGCCGCAGCCCTGGTTATTTCTGGGTCAGAGAACCACACCACCCCTCTGTCAGTTGTCACACTATGGCGGCTGCATGTTGCTGTGATGCTGAAAGCTTTGCTACTGTTATTTCAAATACCAGCAGGGTCAACCCGCAGTGGACAAGTTGCAGTGGAACTTCCAGACTAAGACAGACTAGGAAAAAGGATCTGGCCACCCACTTTTGAAAAAATTGGCCATGAATAGCAGCAGAGCAGTGTCTGATATAGTGCTGGAAGGTGAGAGGATGGTGTAAAAAGACCGGGCAGGGTTCCGCTCTGCTGTACACAGGCTCGACTGGAAGGCACTAACCACCAAGAAACAACTAATATCCAGCAGAACTGGAGTTTTACCTCTAGTCTATTCGATATCCACAGACACAGATGGGGCCCAGCTTCCTTCCTCCCCGCCTTTCCCCCTCCCTCATCACCCACTTTACCTTCACGGAGCCAACACCCAGCCCCCATTCGGAAGTCTGGAAGGGCATAGGGCAGAGTCATTTTGCTGTCTAATGGGCTTAGGTAAGCCATCTAAATACAGAATGTGCTAAGGACAGGCCTGGCTGCCCAATTATAGCCTCCTTTTAGCTTTGGCTAGAGAGAAATCCCCAGAGCAAGTGTTAAACTTGGTCACCCACGCAACTTCCTTTCTTGGCTGAGAGTCAGACAGAGTGAATTCTGGATCCGGCATAAAGTCTTATTCAGGAAATAATAACTGCCACAACCCAAGCACTCAGTGTCTCAGCTTTGAAACTGAGTTTATGATCATTGCCCAATTTTATTGGCTTTGATAGGGTGTGGGCCTGGCATCAAAATAAACATAACCAGTTCTTTTGCGGTATTGGTAATTTATGTCATGCTTCCTTTTTAAATTATAACAGCAACTCCATAAATTAGTAGCTCTTACATGGAAATATTTTCCAAATTAACCCCTCCCCCAAATATTTAACGAATCTATATTAAAGAAACATGTCATTGATGGAATAATGATTCTGCCATTAGCCGTATCTACATGATAATTTTTTTAAAGAGTGATATTCTCTTCTGGAAAATTTTTAAAAGTAGTTCATTTGGAAACAATTTGGTTCAAGTAATTGTACTTATTTCCCCTGAGTCTATTTTGTTCTTGTTGTCACTTCTGGCGTTTTATTAAGAGATGTGAAGTTAATTTCTTGAAAAAGGAAACTTTAATGATGCTTCTTAAACAAATGAAGTATACTACTTAGTGATATATTGAATAGTTGCAAAAATGAAGACGGCACAATGTGAACATATTGAATTTGAAAAGCAACAAATAAAACCAATTAAAATTTCCAAATTGAAAGACTCAATGCCCAAATTATTTGAAAAGAAAATATCTTGAGAAGTACATCATTCAAACATAGCGTACATATTAACTGTAAACAGCATTAGATGCCACTGTACACATAATTATGCCTTCAGGGATAGGAAGAATTAATACCCAGCATTAGTTCAACTTTTCCATGAAAGTTCCGTGAAATAAACTTTATTTCTTCCCAGCTGGCCTCAGTGATCTCTCTTATTTCTAAAGTCATAATTCTCCTGCTTATTTACATGCCTGCATTCCTTCTTCATTTCCTGACCCCTGAGAATGATCAATCAAATCTGTTATTACTTGTCCTTCATGATGATCTTACAATTTACAATGATGTATTTACCTATAAGTA